ACGTCACCCAAAGTTCCGGTTAGCAATGGCCAAAAGGACTGTGTTAGATAGGTTGCGACTCCCACTCACCGATAGTGCAGGAAAGACTCCAGAAGACAAAATAGGGAGGTCTTAACTTAAGTGAGAAAGAATCAAATAAATTTCTTGGGCGATTCTTAGAAGATTTGTGGATAAAACGATATTATTTGAAGATCCGCACGGCAGCCTTAATAACCAGGATACTGAAAACCAGAGGAAGATGAATGCCAAGGAAGACTTAAGCGCTGAGAAGTGGGGATTCAAAGTTATGACACTTAGAGCGTCTTGAAGGCTTCAATGTGTCAGGTATAACAGCCAACGTCGCCACTTCAGACCGATGACCGAACTCATATAATGTGGAACGTGTCGATTAAATTCCCTGTGGGTAAGGGCTAATTTCTATTCTGGTTTCTTTGACTCAATCTTAGTATCGAGAAAAGACAATAGCTGTGTATGAAAAGATTAATGTACCGTGACATATTCAAAGGTACCGCATAAATGCTACAAAAAGGGGTAAACTGAAAGAGGGAAATCGAACCGCCCAGACAAGCACTGACGGCAAACGGCAAGAGCCCGGGAACCGTATAATGGTGAAAAAAGCTCGGAAAACTTCTGAGGTTCGGAATTACAACTTAAGTGTCTCTGCACTGGAGTTTAAGTGACCAAAACAAATGTATTTTCCGACGAAAAAAGCAACTGAAATCCGGCCTGACTTTAAAATCCTTTGCTATTTATGTAGCTCTAAAAAATTGTGTAATTATTTTCTCTTTTAGTGCAAGTGTGATTTGCGTACACTTCGTTTGATTACCCTCTACGACAAATCTTTCGTGACAAGGACAAATAGCAGAAACAAAACTCGATGGAATAAACTGAAAGGAAAAGCAAACGCTAGGCAGATGCCAACAAAAAGTAAATGTACATAATGTTAAAGTGTAGCAGAGTGACAGCAGGACGTACCTCGCTAAGCAGGGGCTCTGGAGGAGGCTCATTGCGGAGTTCTTCCTTTGTATATTCATTATTTACATAGTATCCAACACGGATAAACTCCTGGTCTCGATAGAGAGCCTGAATCAAGACCACAGTGACGCCAACGAGATCTTCAGCTGGAATTTTTTTGGGATCCGGCGGATCAACCTGAGTACCATAAATGTTAGATGCAATAGTTACCTCGAAAACAAACTGGTGTCGGCCAACTGGCACGGGTCCAACCAAAATCGAATCGAGAGTCTGGTCCAATGCGGAGTTGTATGCACTGCCCACGTAAACAACTTTCCACTCCAAGTCTCCAAAATAACGCAAATTAAAAATTTACCTTCTTCAAGAGGTTCGTGACATTCAAACGTTATCTTGAACTTAAACTTGTCGAAGAAGGTGGCAGGGTTACTCAAAACTTCGACGTCACATATGTTTACTTTTGCCATCGAAATAGACCGCAGGATAC